GAGAGAGAGAGAGAGAGAGAGAGAGAGAGAGAGAGAGAGAGAATTGCTGACTGCAGGCGAACATTCCCCCCTCCCCTCCCCCTCCCGTTAACACATCGCGACGATTTCCCCTGTGATGGAGCGAAATTAACGAGAGTCCGGAGTCAAATACTCCCTGATTTACTGTCGGACTCCCTGATTTGCCATATGCAGGGGTCCGTGTGACTCCCTGAAAATTCTGCCATACTAAATAGTTCGTTCCGGGGCACGGCTTCGCGGAATTACCGTATTTTTTCAGCTAATGTCCAAAGAAAATTTGGCAGACGTGCAACTGCATGAATCTTAAAAAAAAGCACATGCGTTATTGTTAATATCTTTAATTTTGACCCTCAGACTGCGGACTGCCTTATTTTGCTGCAGACTACCTCTTTTTGAGGGTAGGGAGTCCGTTGGACTCCCGTGTTCAAAGGTTAATTTCTACCCCTCCCTGTGATGGAGCGAGAGCGTAGATCTATATCTACGCACGTCGATTACCGTAAATCTCCTAAAAATATCAAATCAGAGTAATGAGCTAAGACTAGTATCTGCTGTGACTGGTCATAAAGTGATCACAGGCTTGTCACTGATTTGTCACGGACTTGTCACAGACTCGTCACAAATTTGTCACAGACTAGTTACACACTTGTCACAGGCTTGTCACAGGCTTGTCACAGATTTGTCACGGATTTGTCACAGACTGGTTAGCGACACTTGTCACAGGCTTGTCACGCACTTGTCCTAAGCTTGTCACACACTTGTCACACACTTGTCACAGACTTCTCACATATTTGTTATTTCCAAGTCAATAGACTATAGTTTGCAACCGCACACCAACACTGTGCAACTCATTGCAACGAAATTCTTGACTTCTACGAACTTTGTTGCCTAGCGCTGTCTTTTAGAACCTCCTATCACAACACCGATTGGCTAGCACCCCCCAACGATCGCAAGCAACCTATCGCACGGGGACGCGTGCGAAACAAAACAAGTATTCGTTGTTGACAACCGGGTACCTAAGCCGATTCAATCACACGGATGACTGCACATATGATGCGTGTGTCGTGTACAGATATCGTGAAACCAGGGACTCGTTGTCAGAAACAAACCCTTGCCTTAACGTTAGTCCTAACATTGACTCTTTTTTTTTCTCGTAGACTCTACTTCTAGTAGTAAGTTTTGTTAATCGTCACAAACGAAAAACCGGTCTCGGCATTCGTCTCAACGTTAACTCGTCTCAACAAATTCTTCTCGTGGACCGTCGAAACAGAAACACGGTCAAAGTTACGCAGCTTATCAGAGGCAGTGTACAGAGGACCAGACTACGAGAAAAAGTTTATGTTCAGCTGGCGTCGAGGCCAAAGTTAGGACCAACGTATTAGCCAGCGAGCCGCGCAGCCGTGATTTGCACGGTCAGTTTTGAAACTGCACGGCGAAAAATGTGTAGCACCGCGTAAAATATTGACGCTGAGACACACATACAAAAAAATTGCACTCCCAAATATTTTTTCTGCACTCCCACAATAATCATTCCTGGCTAATACCCTGGGGCCCGTTGTCAGAAACAAAATTGGTCTTAACATTAGTCTTAACATTAACTTTTTCTCTTAGACCGTCGACAGAAATGCTGCGAACTTACGAGAATGAAAAATCGTAGCAGATTTCCTCATAACAATACGAAACAAAGCGCTGTCGACGGTCTAGGAGAAATTGTTAATGTTAAGACTACTGTTAAGACTAAGTTGTTTCTGACAACGGGCCCCTGGTTAGGACTAATGTTAAGACTCATGCTAGCACTAATTATATTTCCGATAACGAGCCACCCCGGTAATGACGATTCCACGATGCACGATGTTTCCGCGACGGTAGTGAAGGGCGGCGATCGTGGCTAGGTGGCGCCGCGGTCACACGTACAGCTCAGAGCTATTGTCCGACCCCGCCGCCGCCGCCGCCGCTGCCCACGCGTCCCCCTCCCCAAAATCCACCAATCTCGCGAGTCTGTCAAATTCGCCGTCGCGGCGCCCGCCGCCAGGGTGCGCCGCGTAACCGCGACGCGTTGTCGCCGGCCGGGGGGAGCTCGTGCAGATGGGTCCGGAGGCGGTTGCCGTGGCGACGGGAGTGTCTGAGAGCCGATCGAGGGAGGAGAGCGAGCGAGAGAGGTCGGCTGTCGGGCGACCGTCGCCGCCGCCGCCGACGGACGCGGCGTTGTCGGACGAGGAGTCGTCGCGGCAACGCGCGCCGTACCACCGGGGGGCGCCACCACCGTGCGGAGGCAGGAGAGAGTCCTGGTACGGATGCTGGGGGGCCTCCGTCGCCGCGGCGATGTGGTACGGATGCTGGGGCGGCTCCGTCGCCGCGGCGATGTGGTACGGATGCTGGTGGGCCTCCGTCGCCGCGGCGACATGGTATGGATGCTGCTGCATGTGCGCGAATGCGGGCTCTGTCGTCGTGGCAACGTGGTACGGATGCTGCTGCGTGTGCGCGGATGATGCGGAATCAGTCGTCGCGGCGACGTGGTACGGATGCTGCTGTTGCCGACGCCATCGCCGCTGCTGCTGCTGCGCGCTCGGCATTTCGTCGTAGTGGCAGTAAGGGGCGGCACTGTAGCCGGCGATCACCGAGTCCTCATGCTGCTGCCGGTAGAGCGACTGTAGCTCCGCTAGCGCTGCACTCTCCCTCCGTTGTACGTAGATCCGCGGCTGCTGTTGTAGCTGCTGCTGCTGCTGTTGCTGTTGTTGTTGTTGCTGCTGCTGTCGTTGTTGTTGTTGTTGTTGTTGTTGTTGTTGTTGTTGTTGCTGCTGCTGCTGCGCCCCTGCCGGTCCGTCTGACTCGCACGATATCAGGCTGTCGTCGCTGTCGCGCGCAGTGGCGCCCCCTAGCAGCCGACGACCTAGCGCGCGGTCGTCGTCGTTCGTGGCAACCGACCCGCCGCACGCAAGGTCTCGTCGTCGGCCGCGCGCGCGCGCACCGGCCGCGCATGCCGGCTTGCCGATGCGACTCGTGCCGTCGAGATGCAGCAACGACCGTCGACGGCGCGACCGCGTCCGCGTCCTTCCTCGCGCCCGCCTCCGCCGTTTCGCGCGGCGACCGTTGTTGTTCGGGTCTCCGGCCGCGACGGTTCGCGCGCCGCCGCTCGCGGGCCCACCGCCCGCGCCCCGCGCCGGCGCGTTGACCGACGGCGATGCGCATGTTTGGAGGCGGGGGCCAGCGCGCGACGAGCGCGCCACCAGTGAAACTTCGTTTCCAGGACGACGATGAAGAAGCAGAGGACGTCGAGCGGGCCGTAGACGCAGTACGTGACGAAGGCGAGCTCGGAGTCGCGCTCCCGCCGCGCGCGCTCGTCGTCGCTGACGAGTAACCATAGCAACCAGCCGAGCGAGCCGATGAGCATGCAGAAGGCGAGCAGGAACAAGAGAACGTGCACGGCGTCGAGGACGGTCATGCCGAGCGTCTGCCACTGTAACGAGGGAGAGACGAGCGATTAATTACGGAAAGTGAGTAATGAACGATGATGATGATGATGATGATGATGATGATGGTGATATGATGATGATGATGATGCAACTGAAACAAGACAATGATGATATGTGTGATCGATCCCACCGACAATGCATGAATGATGAGATGAGATCGTGATGATACCAACGACAAAATGATGCTGATCGTGATCGATGTGATGATACCAACGACAATGATGATGATGATGGTGTTGATGGTGATGAAACCAACGACAATGATGATGATGATGATGATGGTGATGATACCAACGACAATGATGATGATGATGGTGTTGATGGTGATGATACCAACGACAATGATGATCTGATGATGATGGTAATGATACCAATGACAATGATGATAATGATGATAATGATGATGATGATGATGATTGTGATGATGATGATGATGATGATTGTGATGATGATGATAATAATAGATACATTCAAAAATTGATTAGCTATTTTAAAATAATAATAGAATTTATGTATGATTATAATATAATTATATATTAATTATATTTATTATATATTAAATATAACGGTGGTGGTAGTGATGCAGCTGCTACTGCTACTGCTACTGCTGATGCTGCTGCTGCTGTTGCTGCTGCTACTGTTGCTGCTGCTGCTGCTACTTCTGTTGCTGCTGCTGCTGCTGCTGCTGCTGCTGCTGCTGCTGCTACTTCTGTTGCTGTTGTTGCTGCTGCTGCTACTACTTCTGTTGCTGGTGCTGGTGCTGCTGCTGCTACTACTGTTACTGTTGCTATTGCTGCTACTACTGCTACTATTGCTGCTGCNAGGATGGGATGGTGGTGGAGGGATGGGATGAGGATGGGATGGTGGTGGAGGGATGGGATGAGGATGGGATGGGACAAGGATGGTGATGGAGGGATTAGATGAAGCAGGGATGATATGGGAAGGGATGGGACAAGGATGTTAATGATGGGTGGCACAAGGACAGGAGGAAGTGGTGGGAACCATGTCAGTCTCTCTGCTGCCAACTCTTCCTCTCCTCCTCCCCTCTCCCTACACTTCCCCTCCCCCTCCTCCTCTTCTCTCCCTTTTCCCTCACACTCACCTCTCTCATGGGTTTCAGACCTCGGCTGATCATGACATAGTCAGCCCCGCACAGTTCACACTCCTCCCTCCCTCCTCCTCCTTCTCCTCCTTTCCTCCCCCTCCTCCGACCTCCTCCCCTCCCTCCTCCCTCCCTCCTCCCCCCTCCTCCTCCGACCTCCTCCCCTCCCTCCTTCTCCCCTTGCCCTCACACTCACCTCTCTCATGGGTTTCAGACCTCGGCTGATCATGACGTAGTCAGCACCGCACAGTTCACACTTCTCCGAGTTGGAAGCAGTTATCCACTTCATGAGGCAGCGGTTGTGGCAGTATCGCACGCTACCCATGCACATACACGGATGTAGCAGCTCTCCCTGCGACGTACCTGCAAGCACCAACACACACGTACACGCACGCACGCACGTACACGCACGCACGCGTACGTCGCTTCATGAGGCAGCGGTTGTGGCAGTATCGCACGCTACCCATGCACAGACACGGATGTAGCAGCTCTCCCTGCGACGTACCTGCAAGCACCAACACACACGTACACGCACGCACGCACCGTACACGCACGCACGCACGCACGCGCGCACGCACATCCACATACGTGCTTGCACGCACACACGCGCACGCATAGTCGCATACACACGCGCGCGCACGCGCACACACAAAACAGACACACGCGCGCGCCCACACACACCCACGCGTGCACATAAGGCCAGCGTACGTCTATTTCTATAATATATATGCGCACGTAATATATATATATATATATATATATAT